ATAACAAAGTGATCACTGAGGAAATCAAAAAATACCTAGAAACAAATGACAATGGAGACACGACGACCCAAAACCTATGGGATGCAGCAAAAGCAGTTCTAAGAGGGAAGTTTATAGCAATACAATCCTACCTTAAGAAACAGGAAACATCTTGAATAAACAAGCTAACCTTGCACCTAAAGCAATTAGAGAAAGAAGAACCAAAAAACTCCAAAGTTAGCAAAAGGAAAGAAATCATAAAGATCAGATCAGAAATAAATGAAATAGAAATGAAGGAAACGATAGCAAAGATCAATAAAACTAAAAGCTGGTTCTTTGAGAAGATAAACAAAATTGATAATCCATTAGCCAGACTCATCAAGATAAAAAGGGAGGAGCTTCCCTGGTGGTGCAGTCATTGAGAGTCTGCCTGCCGATGTGGGGGAAGCGGGTTCGTGCCCTGGTCCGGGAGGATCCCACATGCCGCGGAGCGGCTGGGCCCGTGAGCCATGGCCGCTGGGCCTGCGCATCCAGAGCCTTTGCTCTGCAATGGGAGAGGCCACAACGGTGAGAGGCCCGCATATCGCAAAAAAAAAGGAAAAAGGGAGAAGACTCAAATCAACAGAATTAGAAATGAAAAAGGAGAAGTAACAACTGACACTGCAGAAATACAAAAGATCATGAGAGATTACAAGCAATTCTATGCCAATAAAATGGACAACCTGGAAGAAATGGACAAATTCTTAGAAATGCACATCCTGCCAAGAATGAACTGGGAAAAAATAGAAAATATGAAGAGACCAATCACAAGCACTGAAATTGAAACTATGATTAAAAATCTTCCAACAAACAAAAGCCTAGGACCAGATGGCTTCACAGGCGAATTCTATCAAACATTTAGAGAAGAGCTAACACCTATCCTTCTCAAACTCTTCCAAAATATAGCAGAGGGAGGAACACTTCCTAACTCATTCTACAAGGCAACCATCACCCTGATACCAAACCCAGACAAGGATGTCACAAAAAAAAGAAAACTACAGGCTAATATCACTGATGAACATAGATGCAAAAATCCTCAACAAAATACTAGCAAACAGAATCCAACAGCACATTTAAAGGATCATACACCATGATCAACTGGGATTTATTCCAGGAATGCAAGGATTCTTCAATATGTGCAAATCAATCAACATGATACACCATATTAACAAATTGAAGGAGAAAAACCATATGATCATCTCAATAGATGCAGAGAAAGCTTTCGACAAATTTAAAAACCCATTTATGATAAAAACCTTGCAGAAAGTAGGCATAGAGGGAACTTTCCTCAACATAATGAAGGCCATATATGACAAACCCACAGCCATCATCGTCCTCAATGGAGAAAAACTGAAAGCATTTCCACTAAGATCAGGAACAAGACAAGGTTGCCCACTCTAACCACTCTTTTTTTTTTTTTTTAAAGAAGATGTTGGGGGTAGGAGTTTATTAATTAATTTATTTATTTTTGCTGTGTTGGGTCTTCATTTCTGTCCGAGGGCTTTCTCTAGTTGTGGCAAGCGGGGGCCACTCTTCATCATGGTGCGCGGGCCTCTCACTATCGCGGCCACTCTTGTTGCGGAGCACAGGCTCCAGATGTGCAGGCTCAGTAGTTGCGGCTCACGAGCCTAGTTGCTCTGTGGCATGTGGGATCCTGCAAGACCAGGGCTCGAACCTGTGTCTCCTGCATTAGCAGGCAGATTCTCAACCACTGCACCACCAGGGAAGCTCTTCACCCCTCTTATTCAACATAGTTTTGGAATTTTAGCCACAGCAATCAGAGAAGAAAAGGAAATAAAAGGAATCCAAATCAGAAAAGAAGAAGTAAAGCTGTCACTGTTTGCAGATGACATGATACTATACATAGAGAATCCTAAAGATGCGACCAGAAAACTACTAGAGCTAATCAATGAATCTGGTAAAGTAGCAGGATACAAAATTAATGCACAGAAATCTCTGGCATTCCTATACACTAATGGTGAAAAATCTGAAAGTGAAATCAAGAAAACACTCCCATTTACCACTGCAAGAAAAAGAATAAAATACCTAGGAATACACCTGCCTAAGGAGACAAAAGACCTGTATGCAGATTATAAGACACTGATGAAAGAAATTAAAGATGATACAAATAGATGGAGAGATATACCATGTTCTTGGATTGGAAGAATCAACATGGTGAAAAGGACTCTACTACCCAAAGCAATCTATAGATTCAGTGCAATCCCTAGCAAACTACCACTGGCATTTTTCACAGAACTAGAACAAAAACTTTCACAATTTGTATGGAAACACAAAAGACCCCGAATAGCCAAAGCAATCTTGAGAACGAAAAATGGAGCTAGAGGAATCAGGCTCCTTGACTTCAGGCTATACTACAAAGCTACAGTAATCAAGACAGTATGGTACTGGCACAAAAACAGAAAGATAGATCAATGGAACAGGATAGAAAGCCCAGAGATAAACCCATGCACATATGGTCACCTTACCTTTGATAAAGGAGGCAGGAATGTACAGTGGAGAAAGAACAGCCTCTTCAATAAGTGGTGCTGGGGAAACTGGACAGGTACATGTAAAAGTATGAGATTAGATCACTCCCTAACACCATTCACAAAAATAAGCTCAAAATGGATTAAAGACCTAAATGTAAGGCCAGAAACTATCAAACTCTTAGAGAAAACATAGGTAGAACACTCTAAGACATAAATCACAGCAAGATCCTTTTTGACCCACCTCCTAGAGAAATGGAAATAAAAACAAAAATAAACAAATGGGACCTAATGAAACTTCAAAGCTTTTGCACAACAAAGGAAACCATAAACAAGAACAAAGACAACCCTCAGAATTGGAGAAAATATTTGCAAATGAAGCAACTGACAAAGGATTAATCTCCAAAATTTATAAGCAGCTCACGCAGCTCAATAACAAAAAAACAAACAACCCAATCCAATAATGGGCAGAAGACCGAAATAGACATTTCTCCAAAGAAGATATACAGACTGCCAACAAACACATGAAAGAATGCTCAACTTCATTAATCATTAGAGAAATGCAAATCAAAACTACAATGAGATATCATCTCACACCAGTCAGAATGGCCATCATCAAAAAATCTAGAAACAGTAAATTCTGGAGAGGGTGTGGAGAAAAGGGAACCCTCTTGCACTGCTGGTGGGAATGTGAATTGGTTCAGCCACTGTGGAGAACAGTATGGAGGTTTCTTAAAAAACTACAAGTAGAACTACCATATGACCCAGCAATCCCACTACTGGGCATGTACCCTGAGAGAACCATAATTGAAAAAGAGTCATGTACCAAAATGTTCACTGCAGCTCTATTTACAATAGCCCGGAGTGGAAACAACCTAAGTGTCCATCATCGGATGAATGGATAAAGAAGATGTGGCACATATATACAATGGAATATTACTCTGCCATAAATAGAAACGAATTTGAGCTATTTGTAATGAGGTGGAGGGACCTAGAGTCTGTCATACAGAGTCAAGTAAGTCAGAAAGAGAAAGACAAATACCATATGCTAATACATATATATGGAATTTAAGGGAAAAAAATGTCATGAAGAACCTAGGGGTAAGACAGCAATAAAGACACAGACCTACTAGAGAGTGGACTTGAGGATATGGGGAGGGGGAAGGGTAAGATGGGACGAAGTGAGAGAGTGGCATGGACAAATATACACTACCAAATGTAAAATAGATAGCTAGTGGGAAGCAGCCACAGAGCACAGGGATATCAGCTCGGTGCTTTGTGACCACCTGGATGGGTGGGATAGGGAGGGTGGGAGGAAGGGAGACACAAGAGGGAAGAGATATGGGAACATAGGTATATGTATAACTGATTCACTTTGTTATAAAGCAGAAACTAACACACCATTGTAAAGCAATTATACTCCAATAAAGATGTGAAAAAAAAAATGCTCCATACACAAGAATGTAAAATTCCCCTTCCTTTCTCACTTTGCTACTGTGGAAATCTTTGTTCTTTAAACTACATGGCACCCTGGTCCCTACTTCTTGATCCTCCTAGGACCCATTTACAGAGGTATGCTGGAAAAAGAAAAGTAGTAAAAAAAAAAAAAAAAAAACCACTTTTTTTTTTTAAGACCAACAGCCTCTATTTATTGGTCAATTGCAGCTTCTTTCCTAATGAGATACAGCCCATTCCTTTTTTTGGGTATTTGTACATTTCAGACAGTTAAGGGAGAAGGGGAAGGAACACTCAATGACAGACACAGATGTTTCTTTTTTGGTGAAAGCAAAAAACCTTTATAAACAACATCCCACTCCTAAGTAAAAGTGGGATAGAAAAACCTTGATTGTTTTTAATCTGGCATTTATGTATATCTTCTCATTCCATATGTACAGGTTATTTGGGTACTATTACCGTCCACTGGCAGAATACTTAACAGTAAAAACAAGTATCAGGATGGAAAAAGTATTAACAAAAGCTAAGAAAAAAATGGCTTCAGGAGGGTGGGCAGCAGTAGAAGCAAAAAGTGTGCAGGAAGGTCCTGCCAATCTTCCAATCTTCCAGAAAGAGCAGTGGATCTAGTACACTGGTCTTAGTAACCCAAATTATAAAATCACAAAAATCATCCCACAAAAACAAATTGATACATGGTTCTCTAGTGCTCTCCTAGATACACAGTGGGTTCAACAGACTTTTGGGAGATGGCTCAGAACCTAATTACTGTATATAAAGCTGTTTTCAGGACTATCTTTATGAAGATCTTAATGTTTTATCAGTAAATCCACTAGAAGAAAAATTACTTAAGCTGCAGCACTGGGAACAAATTATGCAAATCTCTGAACGGCAAAGGCTGCAGCACTAATAGCTAATAGATACTTCTTTTAGGCATGGATAAGTCAACTGCACCTTATTACTCGTCAAAAGGAAGTGATCATTTTCACAAGTAAAGTGCTGGGTTATTTCTCATTACCCATAGTTCTCTCAAAAGTTACTCACAGCTGAAGAGTAGAGTTCAAACTCTTGCTCAGGAAGGAAAGAATGCCAGCCATCTTCTACCACTTCAAACATGGGCCGGTAAAAGAAAGGGTACATCAGAGTGATGGAGTCCAGGGTAGACAATGCCTAGGGGAAAAAAAGAAATAAAAAAGAAAATTGGAACATGTCACAATTTTAAACACTTTCTAATTGCCAAATTAGTATTAAATACGGCCTAATAATGATGGACACCCAATATATTTCTCTAACATGGTATTTATCACTAGATACAATTATACCTTACTGAGGCTAATTACCATGCTTTCAGCCTCTAACTAAGTTTCTGGCACATAACATACACTCAATTAGCATTTGCTGAATGAACAAAAGAACAAAACAATGTGCACACCTACTCAGGAGAAAAATGAAAAAACTCCTTCTTGAGACCATTTAATAAGCCCTAATAAAAAGGTCCAAATATTTCTGGGGATCAGAGAATAGGTTTTGGTTAGTCAGTAAGGCCTTGGCTCAAAATCCAGTTATTAACTATACAGAAACATATGTAAATTATTTAAAATCAGTGTGTGTACGCAATTGTAAAAAAGCTTAGTAGCCAAAGAGTCAGAAGGGAGTCAGACTGCTGGACTCAAATTCCAGATGCCAATGCAAGAGTGTTTAAGTAATGTAACCACTCTACACCTCACTTTCCTTAGCTGTAAAGTAGAGGAAGTAACCTCATAGGGCTACCTCATAGGGCTACCTCTTAGGGCTGTTGGGAGCATTAAGAGAGAAAATGTATGTAACAGGGCTAGAACAGTACCTGGCACATAATAAACTCTAAAATAATTTTAGCTGTTACATGTTCCACATCGCCTCCATCAATGTGAAATTTCCTCCCTTCCTAGAGTGATATGGTCAGGTATCCTCATACCTTTATGCTACACTGACCCAAAACCGGGGCAATAACTCTGTGGTCCCAAAATAAGCCTATTGCTTATTCTGAAGCACTTGAATTCTAGTGACAACACCAGGGAAACCTGACTAGATGGAGGAACTGAGAAACGGAACATCACCTGGCAGTTTCATCCTTCTGACAGGGGAGTTTTAGAAAGCATTTCTGTGAGCGAGGAAAAAAAAGCAGCAAAATCAATTAGCATAATTCAAACTGCAGTAATTTTGGAGACACTCAGCTGGAGGCGGAGAAGAGGGCCCAACATGATGCTAACATCCCCAAGCTCTCAGAATAAAGCTACCTCCTTTTAGGTCAGTAGAACCTTTATTTTATTTTATTTATTTAATTTTTAAATTTTATTATTTTATTATTTAAAAGATATTCTTCGCAATATTAAAAAAATTTTTTCAGCTTTACTATGGTATAAATTGACAGCTTTATTAAACTGTAAGATATTTCAAATGTACAAAGTGATGATTTGATACACATGCACATCGCAAAAGGGTTTTCCCCCATCGAGTTAATTAACACATCCATCACCTCACATATTTACCTTCTGTTGTTGTTTATGAAAACATTTAAGTTCTACTCTCTTAGCAAACTTCAATTACGTAATACAGTGTTATCAACTATAGTCCATGTTACACATTAGATTCTCAAACCTTATCTCATAAACATCTGTAACTTTTACCAACCTCTCCCTATTTCACCCACCTCCAGCCCCTGGAAACCACTTTTCTACTCCCTGTTTCTATGTTTGCTTTTTTTTTATTTTTTAGATTCCACATATAAGTGATACCATGAAGTATTTGTCTTTCTCTGTCTGGCTTATTTCACTTAACACAACGCCCTTCAGTTTCATCCATGTTCTTGCAAATGGCAGGACTGCTTTCTTTTTTTTTTGCGGTATGCGGGCCTCTCACTGTTGTGGCCTCTCCCATTGCGGAGCACAGGCTCCGGACGCGCAGGCTCAGCGGCCATGGCTCACGGGCCCAGCCGCTCCGCGGCGTGTGGGATCTCCCTGGACCGGGGCACGAACCCGTGTCCCCTGCATCAGTAGGCGGACTCTCAACCACTGCACCACCAGGGAAGCCCAGGACTGCTTTCTTTTTTAAGGCTGAATAATATTCCTGTGTGTGTGTGTGTGTGTGTGTGTGTGTGTGTGTGTGTGTGTGTGTGTGTGATTTTCCCTATTCATTCATCCATCAACAGACAGGTTGTTTCTATACCTTGGCTATTATGAATAATGCTGCAGTGAACATGGGAGTACAGATATCTCTTTAAGACAATGATTTTGTTTCCTTCGGATATATACCGAGAAGTGGGATTGCTGGATCATATGGTAGTTCTATTTTTAATTCCTTGAGGAACCTCCATACTGTATTCCATATTTTATTTTGCTGTACGCAGGCCTCTCACCACTGCGGCCTCTCCCGCCGCGGAGCACAGGCTCCGGACGCGCTGGCCCAGCGGCCATGGCTCACGGGCCCAGCCGCTCCGCGGCGCGTGGGATCCCCCCCGGACCGGGGCGCGAACCCATATCCCCTGCATCGGCAGGTGGACTCTCAACCACTGCGCCACCAGGGAAGCCCACAACCATTATTTTAAATGCATGTCAGCAACCATTCTGGCAGGCAATAAGCACTCAGGCTCAGACTTGTCGTGACTACATTTCATTTCACTAGAGACAGAACTTTTCCTTTAAACACATTAATGCTCAAAGAACTGAAGTCATTTCAACCCTAAAAGGCCACTGAAACTATATAGAAAATAAGATTCATCTGACTTCCTGCTATAATTTAGAAAACCAAGCACTTGCCAGTTATTCTTCCAATGGGATTCTATTTATGGCAACAGAATACATTTGGGTATATGGATTTTGATAACAAAGAATAGTTCAACCGTGCTTTATAAGAAATGCACTGGTCTTCCCTGGTGGCGCAGTGGTTGAGAATCTGCCTGCTAATGCAGGGGACACAGGTTCGAGCCCTGGTCTGGGAGGATCCCACATGCCGCAGAGCAACTAGGCCCGTGAGCCACAACTACTGAGCCTGCGCGTCCGCAGCCTGCACTCCACAACAAGAGAGGCCGCGATAGTGAGAGGCCCGCGCACCGCGATGAAGAGTGGCCCTCGCTTGCCACAACTAGAGAAAGCCCTCGGACAGAAACGAAGACCCAACACGGCAAAAATAAATAAATTAATAAACTCCTACCCCCAACATCTTCTTTAAAAAAAAAAAAGAAAAGAAATGCACTTATTACTACCAAATTATGTCAAGATGTATAGAAGAAGGGAGGGAAATTGGATGCCAGGAAAAGGCGAGAGGCCAAGTACACCGTGTGTATTTACTATGTTAAAACAAGGTCAAATTACTTGCTGCTTCTTTTCAGCCATAAGGCTTCCACATAATCAGTCAGTTTCTACAGAGCTGTAGGTAATGTGTGTAGCTAAATAAACAACTGATTAGTGTCAGATGCCAAGAAGTAAATGCAATCAGCAAGTGGGGCAACAGGCTTTGCCTTGTTTCTTCACCACAGGCAACTTCACTAACACCCACCGTCTATCTTACAAGTTATAAACAGGGTAAGAAAAAAAAAATGTGGACAGCTCAGTGAAAATCCAACCCCACAACTGAAAAAAAACACATGCTCAACTGAAGTGGGTGAGTGGCATTCCCTGGCCCAAACAGCAGGACAGCATTTCCCTTTAACAGCCTAGAAGCCACAGTGCGTTTCTCACTCATGTCAGCAAATTCAGCCAAATCAACATTACTGTGTTATTTCCAAATGATGAATATGTAAGACAAACAGTTCAGCTCATCTTCTCATTTCCTTAAGTAAAATTTAGCAAAAGCAGAAAGAAAAATGCTACATGCCATTTTCTCAGTACCACAACAGTGGTTCCTCTGTTTCTCTATTTTTGTTTAAAAGCCAAATGAGATCCTACAGATTTAAGCCTTTCTGCCGCCTTTAACAGTTAAGCCAATAGCATTTATTTTGCATACAAAGCCCAGATCAGTCACTCAAAGACAGAAGGAAAAAAAAAATCAGTGTGTCTCTATAATTACCTAGAAAATACTGTAAACATGAAGTTAATTGCTATAATTTAGTGGCAATGATTTAAAATAAAGCAACTTAAAATCTGAGGGTATACCAAAATCGTTTAAAATGGGAAAGAAAACAGTCTGAGCTCTTCAATTTAAATATTAAATTATCCAAGTAAAATTTCTATTATTTGTAATCTGAACAGATATTCAATATCATTTCTGTAAATATAAAATACATCCTGTCTTAAGCAAACATAATTATGGAAATTCAGATTTACTAAAAACAAACAACACTACAATCATTGTTGATAATTACTTGCTTTACAAAAGAAATAACGTTTTTAAAAAGTCTCAGCATTTATATACACACAATGGAATATTTTTCAGCCTTAAAAGGGAAGGAATTCCTATCACATGCTACAACATCCATAAACCCAGAAGAATAACCAGCATTAAAAACTGCTGTAAGTCAATAAAATCTTTTTACATTCCTATAACAATGACTCAGGGTGAGGCTCTTCCATTCAGTCTTCAATATTTGAGTCACAAACATGACTAAATATCTAAAAGAAACATATAGGGGCAGGACAGAAATAAAGACTCAGACGTAGAGAATGGACTTGAGGACACAGGGAGGGGGAAGGGTAAGCCGGGACGAAGTGAGAGAGTGGCATGGACTTACATATACTACCAAATGTAAAATAGATAGCTACTGGGAAGCGGCCGCATAGCACAGGGAGATCAGCTCGGGGCTTTGTGACCACCTAGAGGGGAGGGATAGGGAGGGTGGGAGGGAGACGCAAGAGGGAGGAGATATGGAATATATTTATATGTATAGCTGATTCACTTTGTTATAAAGCAGAAACTAACACACCATTGTAAAGCAATTATACTCCAATAAATAAAGATGTTAAAAAAAAAACATAAGAGCTACAGTGAAACAGAAAATAAGGTTCCTTTTAATGATTATTTATTTTCATCACATTTTGCTTCCAAAATACTTACCTCAATGGAACTGGCTATATTCAAACATTCCTCCATTCCAGGAATATCCAACTGAATAATTCGAAAATCCTTACATTTTATGATGATGGTACCCAGTGGTCCCACAAACCTATAAAAAATTATAAATTATGCTTAGGGACCTATATACTCCCAACTCAAAGTATATGATTATTTCTTTAAAAAGAGGAGGTTATAATCACCATCTACACAGGCAGACCTTCTTTTATTGCACTTCACTTTATTGAGCATTGCAGATATTGAGTTTTTTAAAGATTGAATGTTTGTGGCAACCCTGTGTCCAGCAAGTCTATCAGCACCATTTTTCCAACAGCATTTGCTCACTTCATCTCTCTGCATCACATTTTGGTAATTCTTACAATATTTCAAACTTTATTATTATTGTTGTTGTTGTTATTATATTTGTTATGGTGATCTGTGATCAATGATCTTTGATGTTACTATTTTCATTGTTTTGGGGCACCAGTAACCATGCCCATATACTACAGTGAACTTAATTGATAAATGTGTGTCCTCTGACTGCCCCACCAACTGCTGTTTCCCCATCTCTCTCTCTCTCCTCAGGCCTCCCTATTCCCTTAGACACAAAAATATTGAAATTAAGCCAACTAATTACTCTATAATGCCCTCTAAGAGCTCAAGTAAAAGGAAGAGTCACACATCTCACTTTAACATCAAAAGCTAAAAAGGATTAAGCTTAGTGAGGAAGTCGAGACAGGCCAAAAGTTACACCTCTTATGACAAATAGGTAGCAAGGTGTGAATGCAAAGGAAAAGTCCTTGAAGGAAATTAAAAGCGTTACTCCAGGGCTTCCCTGGTGGCGCAGTGGTTGAGAGCCCGCCTGCCGATGCAGGGGACGCGGGTTCGTGCCCCGGTCCGGGAAGATCCCACATGCCGCGGAGCGGCTGGGCCCGTGAGCCATGGCCGCTGAGCCTGCGCGTCCAGAGCCTGTGCTCCGCAACGGGAGAGGCCACAACAGTGAGAGGCCCGCGAACTGCACGCCGCCCCCCCCCCGCCAAAAAAAAAAAGTGTTACTCCAGTGAACACATGAATGATAAGAAAGCAAAACAGCCTAATTGCTGATATGAAGAAAGTTTTAGTGGTCTGGATAGAAGATCAACCAGCCACAACATTCCCGTAAATCAAAGCCTAATCCAGAGCAAGGCCCTAACTCTAATTCTCTGAAGGCAGAGAGAGGCAAGAAACCTATGAAAGAAAAGTCTGAAGCTAGCACAAGTTGGTTCATGAGATTTAAGGAAAGAAGCCATCTCCATAACATAAAAGTAAAAGCAAAGCAGCAAGTGCTGATGTAGAAGAAGCAGCAAGTTATCCAGGAGATCTAGCTAAGATAATTCATGAAGGCAACTGCACTAAACAACAGATTTTCAACGTAGACAAAGCCTTATATTGGAAGGAGATGCCATCTGAGGACTTCCGTAGCTAGAGAGGAGAAGTCAGTGCCTAGCTTCAAAGATTCTAAGGACAGACGGACCCTCTTGTTAGGGGATAATGTGGCTAGTGACTTTAAGCTGAAACCAATGTTCATATACCATTCCCAAAGTCCTAGCTAGGGCCCTTAAGAATTATGTTAAATCTACTCTGCCTGTGCTCTATAAATGGAACAACAAAGCCTGGATGACAACACATCTGTTTACAACATGGTTTACTAAGTATTTTAAGCCCACTGTTGAGACCTATTGTTCAGAAAGATTCCTTTCAAAATATTACTGCTCAATGACAATGCACGTGATCACCCATTATCTGATGGAGATGTTCAATGACATTAATGTTGTTTTCATGCCTGTTAACACAATGCCCATTCTGCAGACCATGGATCAAGGAGTAATTTTGACTTTCAAATCTTATTATTTAAGAAATATATTTCAGGGACTTCCCTGGTGGCACGGTGGTTAAGAATCCACCTGCCAATGCAGGGGACACAGGTTCGAGCCCTGGTCTGGGAAGATCCCACATGCTGCGGAGCAACTAAGCCCATGAGCCACAACTACTGAGCCTGCGTGCCACAACTACTGAAGCCCATATGCCTAGAGCCCGTGCTCCGCAACAAGAGAAGCCACCGCAATGAGAAGCCCACACACCGCAACGAAGAGTAGCCCCCACTCGCCGCGACTAGAGAAAGCCCACACACAGCAACAAAGACCCGATGCAGCCAAATATTAATTAATTAATTTTTTTAAAAAAGAAACAGATTTCAAAAGGCTATAGCTGCAATACATAGTGATTCTTCTGATAGAACGGGGCAAAGTAAATTGAAACTTTCTGGAAAGGATTCACCATTCTAGATGCCATTAAGAATATCTGTGATTCATGGGAAGCGGTCAAAATATTAACATTAACAGGAGTTTGGAAGAAGTTGATTCCAACCCTCAAGGATAATGTTGAGGGGTTCAAGACTTCAGTGAAGGAAGTCACTGCAGATGTGGTGGAAATAGCAAGAGAACTAGAATTAGAAGTGGAGTCTGAAGGTGTGAATGAACTGCTGTAGTCTCATGATAAAACTTTAATGGATAAGGAGTTGAACAAAGTGTTTTCTTGAAATGGAATCTACACCTGATGAAGATTATTGAAATGACAACAAAGGATTTAGAATATTACATAAACTTAGTTGATAAAGCAGCAAGAGGGTTTTAAAGGATTCACTCTGATTTTGAAAAAAGTTCTACTGTGGGAAAAATGCTATCAAACAGCATTGCATGCTACAGAGAGATTGTTCTTGAAAGGAAAGAATCAATGTGGCAAACTTCACTGCTGTCTTATTTTAAGAAATTTTCACAGCCACCTCAACCTTCAGCACCCATCACCCTGATCAGTCAGCATTCATCAGCACTGAGGCAAGACCCTCCACCAGCAAAAAGATTACAACTCACTGAAGGCTCAGACGATGATTAGCATTTTTTAGCAATAAAGTATTTTTTAATTAAGGTATGTACACTGTTGTTTTAGATATAATGCTACTGCACACTTAATAAACTACAGTATAGTGTATAATAACTTTTACATGCATTGGGAAACCAAAAAATTCATGTGACTTTCTTTATTGTCATATCGGCTTTACTGAGGTGGTCTGGAACTAAACCTGCAATACCTCCACCGTGTGCCTGTATTCAACTTTCTTCTCCCCTAGTAATCTAATTAAGGAAGAATCAAGCCTGCATCATTAAAATGTGAGCCACAAATAATTTTAAATATATTTAAAATTTTTTTCAAATATATAAAGTAATTCATGCTAGGCCAATTCATTTAATGGAGATTATTAGGGGCCTTACTGCAAATAATAGGAAAAACAGATCTGTAATTAATGTATTAAGTGTTTGTGTAGAGATATTTCCAAAGCATAGAAAAACAGTTCATTTCAGATTTTACTTACTTCCAAACTTACAACAGTTGATTTGAAAAATAAGTATCTTTTGTTCAGTCTTTAAAACCTATTAACTTGCAATATCTATTCTAAGTCAAGGAAAACTTCAGAGTAAATGCCACGTGTAATCATAAATTTTGTATCAGTAAGTTTTGAACAAATTTAATTTTACCTTAGTTGGGATTTTTGTCTTCCTTTTCTTTTTTTTTTTTTGTCTGCACTTGCTGATAGCTCTGATTTTTCTTTTGCTTTGCCACTGACTGCCCCACTTCTTTCCCATTAATACTTCTGAGTATTCCCTAAACTAAGAATTCTTAGATTGATCTAAAGCAGATAATTTTATTTATACTGTGCCTAGCTTAGGAAAATGACTCCTACAGCTACTCTTCCCAAATTCTACTTCAACTGTAAATACCCCCATGCCCAACATCACTGCACTGTGAATTTGGATAAGCAAAAATTATCAACATGGGTCAAATCCTAGCAAAGAAAATTCCACCAGATATCCACAACTAAACAACACAGTGGAATGCCTCTTATGAAATGTATTTTGAAAACTCATACTCTTGGCACTTCCACTTCTGGCAAAAGTGGAATAACAGAGACCAGATTTACCCTCCTACCTGAAACAACCAAAATAACTGGGCAAAATATAAGGAAAGACTGTTTTCAAGACACTGAACATCAGACAACAAAGAACAGAGCTCTCTGGGAGATGGGTGAGTTCAGTGACTGCCCCAATTTACTGTTTTGAGATTTTCCAAGTTATAGTGAAAGGAGAGGAAAACTGGGTGGGGTTGAGAGTCTGAGGAGACCACCTATATTAGGAAAGAAGGAAATTAATGAAGAAAATTTGGGTCTCAAATTAGTGACCTCAGATTCCACTATACTAGAAATAGAACAGCAAGATAAATCCAAAGCAGAGAAAATTAAATAAAGATAGAAAGAAAAAAAATTAATGAAATAAGAGAAGATTCTAGGGAAAAACAATGAAAGCAAAAATGACTCTTTCAAAAGATCAATAAAAGTGATAAAATTCTAGCCAGACTGATCAGGAATAAAGAAAGTCACAATTTACCAATGTCAGAAATGAGAGAGGTTACAATCACTACAGACTCCACAGACATTAAAAAATAATAAGGGAATATTAGGAACAATTTTATGCCAATAAATTCAACAAGGTAAATGATATGGACAAATTCCTCAAGATACAAACTACTAAAGATCATTCAAGAATAAATAACCTGGTTAGAGCTATATCTACTAAATAAACTGAAATTTTCAATAAAATCTTCCCCACAAAGAAAACTCCAGTCCTGGGTGGCTTCACTGATGAATTCTATAAAACATTTAAGGAAAAAATACTATTAAGTCAAGACACACTCTTCCAGAAAACTGAGAAGAGGCAATTACTTCTCAATTCACACCTGAAGTCCAGCATTTCCCAAATACAAAACCCAAAAACATTACAAGAAAACTACAGACAAATATCCCTCATAGACATAGATGTAAAATTCCTAAACAAAACATTAGCAAATTAAATCCAACAATATATAAAAAGGATAATGTATCACGAGCAAATGGGGTTTATCCCCAAAATGCAAGGGTGGTTTAACAAAGTAATTTACCATATTAACAAACTGAAAAAGAAAAACAATATGCTTATCTCGATAGATATAGAAAAAGCATTGACAAAATCCAACAGCTATTCA